ATCTGGCTAAAAATCTAGTTTAATGGATATACACACTGTGTTAATATTTAAAAAAAAAATGGTCAATTCAAACATAAGTTATGCTCCGGAAACCTAAATCCTGACGGACAAACATGGGTAATAGAACACTTGACACCCCGATGCCTACAGAGGACCATTATAAAATACTTAACAACATCAAAAAAATTACTACAGAAGCATTTATAGGAATGAAAATACAAATACTTGTATCCACTCGTTCATTCCTTTTGGCACCAATGGCGTTCCATACTTTTTTTTTTTTTGACGTAGCCTCCTATGGAATGTCATTGTTAACAGTGGAACACGTCGCTAAACAATTGTTATTACTTATAAAACCACTTACAAGACTATGATTTCTTTGAATAAATCAATGTAAAATATGTTGGAATCGAAAATGTCAAGTGAAGGGGGATACGGCGAAATATAACTACTCGGGGGAAAACAGTACTTTTAAAGATTCAAAACACGATAAATGTATTTATATTTAAACAGTTATTTTATTAGTCAAGCTTTACTCACCAATTATAGTTCCAAAGAGTCAAATCCAAGTAAAAAAATGCCGCTTGTTGACACTATGGTTGCATTAGACAAGTTATTTCTCTTTTGGAGTATGGCGCGCATTACGTTGCATGGAATTCAGTAGAATTTAAACTTTTTATTTCGCAAAGTTATGCAACTTTGCCGTGGTCCGATTTTTGCCGACTTGTCAATTCTATAGTTGTAACCTTCGTTTTTCATGAAAAATGAATTCTGTGGCAATTTGTTTGAGGTAAAACCCCAGATTCCCTGGACTATTACACAATTTGGGCTTTTGGATCCCAATTATTGTAACCAATTATGTCTGTTTGGGTTGCTCACGCAATTATATTTTTTATCGAATGACATAATACCCCAACACGAATTTAATTTGTAACTAAAAGACAATATATTGAATTATATGTAATACAATTTCGATTTTTGTTAAAAAAAAAATGTCTTAAAATCATTAACTTTTCAATTTTTAATCCATAGATTTTTTTTTTTAAATATATGTTGTTTGTACATTCATTTCTATTTTAATAATGTAAAATAATAATAGGGTCACAGAATTCGTTTTTACGGTATACATCATTCATAGTTGTGTTCTACGTGACAAAATATCCCAATAAACGTCGAAATAAGCGTAACATCATCGTAATGTAGACCTTGAAACGTCGATTTTTTACGTTTTGCACTACCAACTAGGTAACAGATTGGTTAATACACCAAAAAAGAAGTCGGTGAACATATTATTATTTTATAATTCTAAAATGAGGATTAAAAAAGTATATTGATTGGAGTTGTCTTTTGTAAATTTTGCTAAAGAAAGACTAAGTTCCCAAGTGTGGAAAGGTGTTTAAGGTTGCAATTCTGTAAATATAGACAATGCAATTTCCCATAGGAACTCCCTTTGCGGCTAAAACTGTGACATTTTTACTATGAAGTTTCGTGAAAAATAATATCCCAGAACAGAAAGTTTATATGCACTGCTATTTTATTCAAAGGTCAAAATATAGGACTGTGCGGCATATTTTCAACATCTATATGCCCTGAACTTCTAAGAGTTTAAACTTATACTAAAATTCTATACTACCCTTACCTTCATATTTGGACCTCCTAAGAACTAAAATTTAGGCGCTACCATGTTTTTCCATACTGGTTACATTTCCAAGTGATGTCTCTATGAGATGAAACACAGAGATCATAAATGGGAACCAGTACATTAACAAATTAACATATCTATGAATATTATATATCTCCCCAAAAGAGGCGTGGTTTGAGAAACAGCTGTATTTACAAAGTGCAACATATACAAACATTTATTCAAATAGAAAACCTTCTAAAAACACTTTTTCTCACAACAATACTTATTTATCAGAATTATAGTCTTCAGGAAATCACTGCATATACTCTAAGTTTCCTTTTACAGTACATTGTATACCCCTACCCTTGTTTCAGTTTTTTAAAGAATTTGAAAACAAGACTTTTATCATTGCCAGCTTACCCTATGTGCATGTTTTCTGACATGAAAAGTCTAAAACATGTTTGAAACTATTCTGATAACAAATTGAAAGCATTTTAGAATACTATAAATGTTTTGTTTAGTAGCTTATCATTCCAACATTCAAGAATATACAAAGTATCCAATCCTGCCTGTGTCTTTAGTCCACATCTTACTGTATGCCTATTTGTCAATGAAAGTTCACAATTTCTGTCTCAAATGGTCAGTTAAGAATTCTATTCACAACAGTATCATCTCTAACTATATAACAAACATAAGTTAGTTAATGTATGAACTAGAAGTGTCTAAACAAAGCCATAATTGCAAAATTGTATTTAAGAAGGTATCAGTCTGGTGCATAAATTGACTAAAAGTTTGAAAGAAATGACTGCTCACATCTTATTTTTGCATAACTTTCCAGCACAGCTATTGTTTTGTTTACAAAAGACCTTGAAAATAATACAATCATAGCATTTTCAAGTTAAATTATCTGTTTTATGACCCAGAGTAGGCATTTTTTTTCTGTTTTTTGCTCCCTGGGACCTTACATTTCCTAAATATTTTCCCTGTTTCTAGCAAGGTGGAATATCTAGTATATATTTAGGATAGAACACATTATTGTAAGTTTTATTGAGGTCTTTTTGTAATTCTAGCTTGTACTTTTTAATGCCGCGGTCACAAAAAACACATTTAGGTGTTACGGCTTACTTTTGGGTCATCGACAGGACAAAAATAACCCAACAAAATTATTTAGGAAGGATCAATGAGTTGCAATGACTGCGTAGAGTAAATATAAGCTTTTCTAAACAATTTAAATCACAAATAGGCATATATTATGAATTTATTTTCAATGCAGGGCTTTAAGTAAACCATGCATATTGTAAACTGTAAATTTATCATGAGTCATCATAGTTAAGGCTCAGGATTTTCTCAATCTTTATGAAATATTTATAAAACTTCATATTTGAGTTAAATTCTTTAAAATCTCTGCGATAAACCAGATTTTGTGAAATTCTGTATGTTCTATTTTTTAACCCTATATAGGTTGCAATTCTGTAAATTTAGACAATGCAATTTCCCATAGGAACTCCCTTTGCGGCTAAAACTGTGACATTTTTACTATGAAGTTTCGTGAAAATTAATATCCCAGAACGGAAAGTTTATATGCACTACTATTTTATTCAAAGGTCAAAATATAGGGCTGTGCGGCATATTTTCAACATGTATATGCCCTGAACTTCTAAGAGTTTAAACTTATACTAAAATTCTATACTACCCTTACCTTCATATTTGGACCTCCTAAGAATTAAAATTAGGCGCTACCATGTTTTTCTATACTGGTTACATTCCCAAGTGATGTCTCTGTGAGATGAAACACAGAGATCATAAATGGGAACCAGTACATTAACAAATTCACATATCTATGAATATTATATATCTCCCCAAAAGAGGCGTGGTTTGAGAAACAACTGTATTTACAAAGTGCAACCTATAAGGGATCTAGCTTGAAAACGGAAGAAGAAGATAATTTCACTGAACTGGTCCCATTTTTGGTATATTTTGCTGATAAATTACCCAAGTCTACACAAAAGGTAAATCTTCCTCAAACAATTCCATATAAACAATTGCACAAGTTCAAGATGTGTACAATCTTTCTATTAAGTTTCTAGGATCTTAGTTGAAACCTGAAGAAGTTGATGACAAAAAACTGGAATTATCTTTTGTCAATTTTACTTAAAGATGACTAAGTTTCAAACTATTTCAGTTGCACAACTTCAACATGTGTTTTTGGTTTTGTCAACGCCGACAAAACAAATACCCAATGTAAAACAACAGATAGTGAGATAATTATGACCAATAACAACGGAAAAGTTTCTACTGGTAACTGAGAATGCTGTGTATCATGTATGGTTGACATGGTGTTGGTATCTCAGAACTCAAGACGTATATTAGGTTTCGAATAGGGAAGGAATTTTGTTTTTGTAATACCTTTTATTTAGATGGAACAATTCACCTTGTGTATATCATCCTATATATAGATTTACATTTAAGACAACTACTGTTCAGTGCCTATTAGATATAGATGATATACTCACATCTCAATTCAATGAAGACTTGCCACATAGGTGCATAGACAAAATATTTAAAATGGCACAAATGTCTAATAAATTATCTGGGAAGCTTTTGCCTAGTTTATTACTTAAAAGTGTCTAAATCTGTATTTGACCCAACACGTAAATTGATATTTCATGACATAATCGTTGTTACAATTAAACCGTCATTCTTGTTCACAGATAACAGGAAGGAAAAGTTTGTTAATAAGGAGAATTTTAAATATTGAAGTGTTTCCGGTTTACATTATTCACGAGTTTGTGGGATGTCGATTATATTTCTTTAGCTATACCAGGATCAAAACTGTAAAGATCATTTTTCCTTAGAGCTCTTTCGAAAGCTTTTCCTTCTCAAATAAACCAAACGCAATAATTTCAATTGACGATGATTTGAAAGAGGAAATGACTTTCTTCTTGTTTCCTGGATAACTTGGACTGACTTCATTGATTTTAAATACGGAGGATTTGTTGTTCCTCACTATATGGATGAAGGGACCATATTACATATTTAGATTTCTGGTCAGATGAACAATTAAAACTTCCAATTATGATAAACGAATAAATGGGCTTTATGCAAGCTATCGCGAGTCTTCATGCATACATCATTAACAAGCAAGTGTGTCTTGGTGTTGACAACCAATCAGTTATGTCTGCATAGAATAATCGAAATTCTAAAACAAAAAGGTTTTTGTTAGTCTTTTCAAATTGTATTCCAATACAATTGTCATTTGAGCATTAGGTATATACATAAGCCACTGACGTCAGCATATGTATATTCTGGGAAATTGTCGAAACTTGACACTAAAATCAGACAAAGGGTGTGGGCTTTTGCTGAGTTCCTAATCACCATGAGGTAAGTTTCGATATGGAGCAAAACATAACTTGTACTTTCGTTTTTCCTTAAAAGTCAACCTACACATCTCTGGTTTCCTGTAGTACAGTCGTTTTTAGTTAGAATAGTTTCTACATCGGTGATAAAGGTAAAATGTAATCCTCGGAAAGAGGTAAATCGGATAATTCAAGGGGATTTGTTTGGAAATTGTTTGGGGCAATATTTGACTTTTTAGGAAAGATAACATTTAACAATTGTTAAAACATTTCTCTTCTCTTGATTTTGGTAATAATTATAGAAGATTCTATGATAAGGTTTCTAAAAGATTTCATATCACCAATGTTGATGGTTTTATACATGTTAAAAGCATAACGTGTATTTTGAATGTTTGCCGATTTCTTAGTGAGGCTTTATACCACTCAAAGGCTTATGAAGCAATAAATCTGCAGAACATAAAAAAAAACCAAGCAAATTGTCCGCAAAAATAACAATAATAGGTCATTAGTGTATAACCATTTGTTTATGCTACATAATTTTACTATAATATATTAATGTTTTGTAAGTACTTTGATGGAGAAACTTATGTATGATACATGTACTTTTCTTTAAATTATACTTTTAGGACTTCAGGTTTGAATAATATAATTATGTATTGGATTTTTTACTCAAGTTTTCTGATTTGCTGTGGTTATTTTGTGTATCCGATTTACAATTACTTTCGATTCCCTCCCTTCCATATTATATAGGATTAAAACGCCCATTTAGTATGGATTTAAGTCCATTTAGTTTTGAAGTATTTAAAAGATCATTCATATGTTTATTTTTGTATATTTATTGTTTATAAACTGCTGAAATATTCATAACACTAAGGTTTTCTACCCTTAGAAGGATATTTCCATGGCTCAACTTTTAGGATTTTAATGCTTTCTAATGTGTATTTATTTACTTGTTTACTTGTTTATCTGTTTTGATTCCATTGCTACTACTGAGTCGTATGTACACAAAACAAACGCCTGGTATCTTTAATGATATAATACAACAACTAGAAGGTCGATGTATCTGCTGGAAGGCGTTTCGTCTACGACATTAACACCAGCCCAGAGTCAAAACTTTTGTGCTGACATGAGATAGGATTGCTATTTTTATTTGATGTGAATAAATGTACTGTTTCTTAAAGGCAGAGGTTAACAAAAAAATATTTGATAAACTTGTTAAATTGTGTTATTACCAGAAAAAAATCAATCTCAGTGAAATCAATATAACATTGTACTTAATTTATTGGATTTGTTATCATTCAATTACATTCATTCCACATTAATTTTGTGTTTATAGGTTGCACTTTGTAAATACAGCTGTTTCTCAAACCACGCCTCTTTTGGGGAGATATTTAATATTCATAGGTATGTTAATTTGTTAACGTACTGGTTCAAATTGATGATCTCTGTGTTTCATCTCATAGAGACATCACTTGGAAATGTAACCAGTATAGAAAAACATGGTAGCGGCTAAATTTTAATTCTTAGGAGGTCCAAAAATGGAGGTAAGGGTAGTATAGAATTTTAGTATAAGTTTAAACTCTTAGAAGTTCAGGGCATATAAATGTTGAAAATATGCCGCACAGCCCTATATTTTGACCTTTGAAAAAAATAGTAGTGCATATAAACTTTCCGTTCTGGGATATCATTTTTCACGAAACTTCATAGTAAAAGTGTCACAGTTTTAGCCGCAAAGGGAGTTCCTATGGGAAATTGCATTGTCTGTATTTACAGAATTGCAACCTATATGTTGTATAATATTATATTTTTATGACTCAATATCTTGATGTTCCTATCAAATCAAATTGACAAAAGAAAGAAAGGTTTGATAAAGTCAATAATTATAACGTTGTTTTGAGATGAATATTGATTATCTTATTAATAGATTTTCACTCCCTTAATGTTGCCTTTAAATTTTTTTCCCTTATTGGCAGAAGAAGGGGCAGTATTGACCGTGAATTTTCCTTGTTTTGTATTAACTTTTGAGTACATTTTTAATTGAAACAAGTAGTGGTCCACATCTTTAACAGCTGGATATTTTGAGAAATTATTGTTATGCTTCAAGCAATGTCATATGAACAGGTGCATAGAATCTGCATTTCTATTTTAACAAAATCTTTGCATGTTATGATGTAAATATGACGTCATTACTTTGACATTTGTTTTCCATGCGTTTTGTTCGCATTTTTGTTAAAATATATTTTTTGTTTGTAATCTTAATTCATTTATATTTCTTGATATTATACATTTCTCTATATTTTGAGCCTATTCGAAAAGGTTTTGAAGCCCTTTATCTTTTAGTTGAAAAAATGTCCTCGAGAATTGTACTAAAGTATGTTTTTCTGCACAGTTTATGGACGTTTGTTCAGATATTAAGGTCGCTTTTTTAGACTGTAAATAAAGGCAACAGTAGTATACCGGTGTTCAAAAGTCATAAATCGATTGAGAGAAAATAAATCCGGGTTACAAACTAAAACAGAGGAAACATTTGTTAATTCTACGGCAATTTATGTAAAATGGTTTGACTTCTGTATCAGCCATGTAACTTTGAATTTGCTTTTCGTAAATTCCTGTTTTCTTCGATACGATACATTATGTGGTATTGTTTTGCTGGGATTTGCCATTTTTTTGCAAGTAAAGTATATATTTTAGAGTTTAGTTTAAGATCTTTTTCTGACCTTATATTGTACAATACCTTTTATGTTACTTAAACTAGTATTCTACCGATCAAGCGAGATAAAACAAATAAAGATGCAGGACTTCAAAAACTTGCTGAGTATGGCAATTGTGCCTGTCAGAAGTCATGTATGTCACCAGTGTTTGTCATTGTTCATATCGTTTTATTTTATTTTACAGCAGATCCTTAGTAATTTGATTAAATTTAAACAAAAGCTTTACAGTCTCAAAGCTATTATGAGCTTTACATATGGTTAATTTAAAAAAATAAGTAGATATGGTATGATATCCAATAAACAACTCCCCACCAGAGACCATATGACTTAGAAGTTTAAAACTTTAGATCACCGTACGGCCTTCAACAATCAAGGACCTGATTAATGTACAAAACAATGAACGAAAAACAAATATGATATACAGCAACAATCGAAAACGACTGAATAAAAGGCTCCGGACTTGGAACAGGCACATACAGAATGTGGCGGGGTTAAACTAGTTTGTTGTAGCCAAACCGTCCCCCTTATATCATACACTTTTTATGATTTAAGAAACATCTTGATACCTTTTAGATTTTATAGTATTGTTGGAATAACAGCATCATTGACGTCCACCCATATTTCTCTAATTCTACGACAATTTAACTCTCTCTGAACCCATTTATGAAAAAAATTAATCAACGTGTGGTTGACGCCGATCTCAGAAGACAATTGGCTCAGTTTAAGGGTCATAACCTTTATTAGCTCACTGGATGAATCGAATTGTGCAAACAGGTGTTAGAGAAATTGACAACCTCTTGGAATTTGGAAGGCAATCGAAGGGGATTTTTGTTTATCACAAATAAAAATTTATTGTATAATCATTAGAGTAACTGATTCTTACATATTACTCGTGAATTATCAAATTTATCCAATCTCGATAGTTAAATTATCAATTCTAAAGTCCTCGCCGAGGCTCAGACTTTAAATTAGATAACTTAACTATTGCAATTGGATAAATCCGATAATCCACTGGTACCAATGTAAGAATCAATATATCTTATATCTTAGTTTAAATTATACTTATCTATATAATAATGTTTTTTTTTTTAATTTTGCCCAGTCGATTTCATAAATTTCTTATCAAAATATATACAACAAACCAGGGTAAAAGTATATTAGTGATACTGTCATTCATTTTACTCAATCATTTTAAAATACTTTTGATTGAAGAAACTTCTTGAAATAGTTTATATAGTTTAGAAACAACATTGTTTTCATAATGCATTAAATATTGAGTTTTCGAACGAAATTTAAAACATTTATTTCCCACTATTTTGATTTATATAAAATTGATGAAAATGTTAGCATAAATAATCTATTTTGTTTTCTGAATGGTAGTGGTGTAATATTTTATGACACTTCATTACTATTCATTCCAATAAGCATTCAATAATGTTCTTATTTTAAACATAGATGTCAGAAATATTTATCTTAGCTTGTATGATATTGTTTTGTCTTTCTGAATGTATTCAGTATAACAATTAAAGATGTAACTGATAAGGTTATTGTTTAAAGGGGTACTAGCTATGAAGTATGATTTTTTTCCGTTCAATCATTAATGAAAGTGAAATAATGAAATAATAATTCGCTTTTAGCAGCCAGTATGGTTCAATTTTGTCAAATTAAGCTAAAAACAATTGATGATGAATTATTCACTTGCAAGTGAATAATTCGACCTCATTGAATCCGTATGCATGTGAACTTCAATTTAACCTCTTAGCTAGAGTTGGATAACGCATGCATTGTGCGTGTTCGGTTATTTAAAGGGAACGAATGTCAACATTGAAAGTGAAACAAAGGTAAATCATTTGACTGACTGATTCGATCCACAAAAAATCATTCTTATACAGGTAAAAACGATGATTAACATATATTTTTAATCTTTAATATGAAATTAAAGAGACCTAGAAAAATCCAATTGCACGAGTTTTGCTTTTTATCTATATCTGTGTTTATGTTTATACCGTTTATATGACCATCGGAGGTTTCCGGAGGTCAACTCAATAGTTAATTAGATGGCGTCAAGACTAAAAAACACACGAAACGAAGCTACATATTATCGAGCCCATGCCCTGTAAATTGTTTATTTTAGATATTTTATAATTTGTATAAATGTTTTACATGGTTATAAATCAAATATGAGAATATGAGTCAAATCGGTGAACATGAATTCGACAGCTAGTGCCCCTTTAAGTATAATTATTCTGTTTATAATTAACGTCATACTTTCCAATGTTACAAAAACAAAAACGAATACAACGACACAATATACACAGTGTTACTTATTATGTAAAAGACGAAACTGTTGACCAACGTGAGGGAAAATAATTTGTTTTGTTCAAAATAAAACTTTTTACCACAAACATATTCCGAAAATGAAGGCAGATGAATGGCAAATGTTTTTTTAATTGTAGGGTGCATCCTTGAACGACTAGGACCATGTTCAACAAATTGTGGGTCTGGACGTCAAACGTTTAAGTTATTCTGTGAAGATTATAGTGATGAAGAATTTATTGATGAATTTGAATTATCATGTGAAAGCAGTACCGGATGTCAAGGTAAAAAATGTCTGAATCAATAAGTTGTTTTATTTAGTTTTTGAATCAATTTATGTTATCAATGTTTTTAGTTATTTGGAGAGCTACTTGTTAACCGCTGATACTTGATTGTTTCTGTATAATGCATTTAGAACTTTTATAGATTCGTGTTGATTTAGAGCTAAACATATTGCACTTGCAGGTTTCTTTTGTCTTATGTTGCCCTCAATATTTCGTTTTTGGTTAGTTTTGTCATTAGATTGCTGTTTCATTGACGTATACCCCCAAAAGAAGGAGGAATTACTGTCAAACTAGCAGGGAATTTAAACATTTAACACTAGTATATCTATTAATATTGAAAAACCTGAAATTATTTTGTCTGCTTGGCAAAAAGTTTGGTATTGTAACCCCTCTCAAAACCATATAATGATTCCTTTATTAGTAATGCATGTAAACTTTGACATGAAAGTCGTTTCAAGTTGTGTATAAGTTAGTGGTCATCCTGTTTATAGCTGGACTGTGCAAGTTTTTCTGTTGTGTGTTTCATTTTTACGTCATATGGCCTATATACGTCAAAGAGAAAGTTTGTGCCCATGTAAAACTGATTTAACCCCATCAAATTTAGTGCCTTTATACAAGCCATTATTTTATAATTCCTGTAACCTTTTATATGTATCATTTATATAGAAAAAAGGATGAGGAGATACTAAGGGGCATCCGAAATTTAAAAGTCAAATAAAAACAGGCAATACCATGGCTAAAAATTAATACGACGAAAGGAGAAACAATACTAACAAACATAACTAAGAAAGAAAACTAACGACGAACCTCGTCACAACCGTGTGAACTCAGGTGCTCAGGAATGGTAAGCAGTGTTTGCTTCGAATGTGGCACCCATCATGTTGATAAAGCAATTAAAAATCTAGTTATAGGTCACGTTCGGCAATGTCACAATCGAGATAAAAAAAAAGGCGTGATTGTGGTTACGACAAGTTAAACATATCCGTAGATATTTACTATAAGTCGGGTGCCCTTTTCAGCTCCAAATTCTAAGGATTTAGTCTTGACCCTCGTATATGTCGGACAAAATTTGGGCATTTTATTTTTCAGCTGACAGTATCTGAACGCCGGTAAAACCAATGCAAATCCAGGAATAATATTCATTTCTGCATTAATGTTTGTTTGGTTTGAATTTAGTTGATGCTCATCATGATAATTTATATTGCTGTTAATAATAAAGATGTATTCATTTCTCTTGTTTTGTTCACTGTTCAAATGTTTGATTAGCCATGTGTTGTTTACGTAATGCATCAATGATTTTGTAGGGTATGACTAACAACCTATTGTTTGAGAAAAGCGAATATAAACCAATATGAACCTGAAAAATTTAAAGTCAATCAACACTTGATGAAAATATTTTTCACAGCATACATAACTCGGTGTTAAATGAGCATGTACACTTCATAATTCTTATTATATTGTGATGATTAAAGGATTAAAAAAATTAAGTGAAGCTAATCAATATATTAAAATAACTAACTCCAACTCATTAGTGTCATCTGTTTACCTATCACTGATAGTTTTCACACCTTTAGTAAATACAACTCTTTGTCTCTTAATTGGGGTTATCTATGGATTATATTGGCTTGTCAATCAATTTTGTAATTTTTGTTTACCTGAGACACTTTAATGAATAATATTTTGATTTTGGGAATGATTCTTAAAATTATTTTTTGATTATTATATGATTTATAAGCATTGGATTGATATCATGATATCACAATAATGACACAATAACTCCGCTGAAAACATCCTTTCACATATTTGGTACATTGTTATCTCCTTTTCATTTTTGGTTCTTGGCTCTTCTTTTTGGTTTATAGGAAAACCATGTGACCATGAAAATCAATACACAAACCGGAAACAGTAGAATTTCAACATGAATTTGCAGAAAATGTTTAGCAAAGAACAAATAAAACACAAAGACAGTATTGTAGTCATTTATTTTCAACAAAAACTTTTTATTTATTGATTTATGTAGGTTTGGCAATCAAAAACGTAGTTTTGACCAGGAAATTCACTCCTGACCACTTTTTTCAAGCTTGGATTTTTCCTCTGGTCGCTAGATCTCGTCTATTAGTCGGTCCCCCTCTCTGGATTATGAATTTTACTCCCAATTTTCCAACTAATAAGCGAGTAGGAACGGGTACTATTCCATAACGCTCAACTAAATTATGATGGTGTTCGTGTTTCGAAGGCTGTGACTTAGAATTTTCAACCTGGAACCCTTAACGCATTAGCCTCCTTGTAAGGGCTAACACTCTATCAATGAAATTATGATTGGAAACGCAAGTCCTAGAATATCGGATTAAAAGATAGATATATTATATACTTCGTATGCAAGCGCTGCCGGAATGTTGCTTCACAGTAATGAAAAGTTCACAATTGGAAAATCAAAATCATAAAGCATGTCTGACTGAATGTAAATGTTTAAGTTTCTCAACTAGATTATGTTCAGAGTCTTTTTAAATTCATATCTAAACACAAGATACTCAACTGATTTGAATGATAATTCATATAATTATACACATTTAAAAAAGATTATATTCCACTTATCTCCTTTACCGCATAGCAAGCTTTTAAAGACCACGATATGACGAAAGTAAAAGAATTCAAAGTTAATATAAAATGAAACCAATTTATATGGAAAGGTTTACCTATAAAATTAGAATCACTATCAAACAAAATGTTATATAAGCCCGTTATAAACAACTAATTTGAACCATCTATTGGACCTAAAAATGGCTGCGTATACTTAATAAAGATGATGTGTTATATCAAAACAATTTATATAAATTTATATTCAATATTTGAAAGAAAATAAACATAAAACTTTTAGGTGGAAATTACTACAACATATTCAATCTACAAAGAAACTTTTATTCAGGTGAAAAATTGCAAACAATAGTTTTTGTAACTTTTGTACTCAAGAAGAAGAAAACAATCACTTCTTTTTACTGTGTCTGTATTTAGAACACTTTTGGAATAAAATGAATGAAGTTTTAAAGAGGAGTAAAATAACTTTTAAGATCCTATTAAAACATTTAGTATTTGAATGTAAAATTTCTGACGAAGAATAGTATTTTGGCTTTTACTACTTTTTAACAATTGTTAGTTTTTCAATATACAAAACGTATTACATTACCTGATCAAAAGACAACAAAATGTCAATTTTCATTAATGAATTCATCAGAAGAGTAAGTGTGACAGTTCAAAATATTTTAGTAACCATTAGAAAAAATTTGAACAATGAGTGATATTATTGAATATATATTTGATGTAATATGAATTTTACAACTAATCACTGCCCAGGGTAATAAGTGAAATGTAACAGTGAACATCAGGAGCTTGGACTCCTGAAGGATATTGTAACAAGCAAGTAATTAAAATAAATATTTAATTATGTTGTTAAACCCCCCCCCCCCCCCCCAAACAAAACAACAATTCAAACGAGAAAATTTAACGCACAAAAGTATAATATACAGTCTTTGACCTGAGTTGACAATCATACCACATCTTATTCTTATATTAATAAATCTATAAAAGACAGATACTACCACTAACAAAAAAAGATGAACAACAACAATGTACTTATAATCGATAAAAACCTTACGGCTAAGTTAACAGATAATATCATGGATAAATCTTAATGTTGTGGAAAAGCGATTTCATCTTCGAAATTTTTATGATGTAGAAATGTAAACGTCATACTTCTATAATGTAGGGAAAGATAGGTGAGAGGTTGGAAAAACCGAAGCTAGAGGAGGGAAATTAAATTGGATGGGATAACATAATTACATTCGAAACTGCTTTTAGACTTCTGACATTGAGGTTCAAATATGAAGAGAAAAGCAGGTTTTTGTTGACGGTCGAGTTACTCAGTTTTCAGCTTTTATGTTATGATTTGTAGACTGTTGTTTGTCTTGTCGTTTCGTTCCTTTTTTGTTTTTTTGTTTTTTGCTATAATGTATTCCCATTTTTTTCCGCTTAGTTTCACTACAAACTGCTCAGAGTCTGAAAAGGCCATTTTTTGTGCTCAACCTTATTGAGCACAGATTTTATTTGACAAGACTCGACATAATCTCGACAGTACTTAACAGTACTTAACTGTACTTGACTTTGGTCTATACTTTACTTAATAAATCTGATTGAGTACTTGATAATCTTGGTATAGTCTAAATATGGTCTCGACCAGTCTCGACTTAGTCTTTACCAGTCTCGACAAATATCGACCAGTATCGACTCAGTCTTGACCATTCTCGACAAGTCTCGACCAGTATCGACTCAGTCTTGACCTTTAAATTTAGTCTCGACTGGTATTGACTCGGTCAGAATGAGCCAATCCATCTCAATTATATATGGATTTTTAAAAATGACACGTTATTTGGCAGTTTGGTTTATTGCTGTCAAATGAAGGGATTTAATAAATAGGTATCTATCTGAATTTAGTCCGAACTGAAAATTCTAGCTTTTATTTTTTACCTATTTATTAAATCCTTAAATTTGACAGCAATAAACCGAACTGCCAAATAACCTAGCATTTTGTAAAATAAATATATAATTGAAATTTAGACCGAGTCAAGACCAGTCGAGACTAACTTTAAAGGTCAAGACTAGTAAAGACTGAGTCGATAGGGGTAAATGTGCACTGCTGCCATCATTTGGCGTCTTCTATCGCCAATTTTAGTCCGTTCATCAAAACATATTTTATTGAGCCAATTTGAACAAAATTTGAACACAATCATTCTTTGGGTATCTAATTCAACAAGTTAAACTATGGGCTATTGCTAACTTATATACTTCCTCTGGCATTAGATTGAGAGGCTATTTTTCTTGGTCCCTTTTGGTTCTATTACTCTTCACTTATTTACAGTTCTTGTTGATTATTTGCTTTCACATATTTGGTTTTGAGCATTCCTGGTGACGGTTAATCAGGGAAAACGCTTTCGACGCATACAATTTATCATAAAGTGTTATTTTTATTTTATATAACACAGCGTCGATACCCTTTTTGCTTGACTATTTGTCCACGGAGGTATCATCAGCTTAGACGTCAGTGATTCGTTACAAGCATAATTTACAATATATTTTTCTTAAATTGTCCGTTTATAAATTTATAAATTATTAAAAAACTCAGGTTCCATCTCAGACAAAGGTGACCTGTCATGGATTTGGCTATAATTGTGGATCCTTTTTCGTTTCATCCTTAGCTTTCACATTTTTGGTTTTAAGCGTTCCTGTTTCTTTTCTAGATCGACAGATTATTTTGATTTATATGAATGAAAATTAATTTTAAAATATATTTTAGGTGGTTGGAGTGAATGGGTACCTTTTGGTGAATGTTCTACAACTTGTGACGGAGGACAAAAGGTGGTTAAAAGAAGGTGTGATAATCCATATCCAGGTCGTGATTCTGAATATTGTGATGGTGATGACGTCAAATACGTATATTGCAACATGGGTGGTTGCCCAGGTATAATGCTGCATTGCACTATAAATTCCTCTGGTTTGATGTGTTTGAGCTTTTGATTTGCCAATTGGACTTTCCACTTTGAATTTTCCTTGGAGTTCGGTATTTTTTTTATTTTACTTTTTTCCAAGTGTCAAATTCAAATGAAACAGTCTTTTTGAATAATTGATAACAATGAAGAAAGTTTGAATGGACTTGCAATGAAAGTTTAAAATATATACCTTAATTTCATTTCAAAGAATGATAAACAATAGCAAACATTTAAAGATCGAAAACAAAAGTATATTTCATAGATACAATCTGAAGTGAAACAATTTAACTACAAATGGTATGGCGCTTTAAAAAAAAGACGCTATACCGTTATGTTCTCATTACACAGAATATTTACACAGTACCATAAGCTTATACATTTTATGATTTTAACGCCACATTATCATATTTTATTGACAGAAAGATTTCTTAATGCGTATTAAGCTTTTTACGTATTTTATATTTAAAAAAGATCCAAATAGACATGTAACACCTTTTATTAGTATCATTTGATCTTGAAAGACAACATCGATTGTTTGAAAAGATAAATTGAAATATTTGTAGGATCGTGGAGCTGTTGGGAGGATGATGGTCACTGCTCAACCTCGTGTGGTAATGGGACACAATTAAGGCGACGACGATGCAATAATCCAACGCCAAAAAATGGTGGAGAAAACTGTCCTGGTGATAATCTGATCAACGTGCATTGTAACACTAAAGAATGTCCAGGTATCATTTTAACTTTATATACCAACGGTTGAAAATAAGTAAAATCAGTAGATTATTTTTATCGGTTTTAGAAATATGTTTGTGTGAAATCATTCAACAGTTTTCTACATTTAAATTCTTTAAATAAAAGTGGCATAATTAAGTCAGCTATTTTCCATACGTTACAAAGTTATATCTGTATCTTTAGGGATATACATCGATGGTTCGTTAAAAAGATATAATGAGTCTTATAAATTTAGTAACATTAATGCATTTATACTTAAATATTTGTTCCCATATGCCTTGCATGCTGATATCCAGTTGAAATTAAACAAAAGAAATGGAACTCTTTATTAGAGAGGGTAGAAATGGCCAAGTTGGTATATTTTAATTGTTTACATCTGTTTCTATGTCTACGGCCTTTAAAGGTTTAATGTAAGTGCATAATTTAAATGTTTTGTATCTTACTTACGTGTTTATACTTATATTATAGAATAGAGTATCGAGATATTTGTAAACCTAAATATCAAAGATAAATTTTCTCGAAACACTCGATAATGGTAGGTACCAATACATGAGGATCTTTTTTGTGCATAAGCATGAATTCTACGAAAAATTACACCAAAAGATAAAAGAATGATCTCTTCAAAGCATTAAATTGTATCTCTGCCCCCAGCAACATTTCATTTTTGGGAACAAATCCTTCAAATGGGCAACGATCTCATTGCAAAAGTAAAGCTGGTTACATCTTTTTTATGTTCAGGCGTGTAAGTGTTTACTGTTTGTCTAGAAAACGTAAAACAAATATATTTGATACATCATCTCACTTCAGATTCCATTATTATTATATATTACTTAAATCAAATTGTAATCTGACCGATTTTATTTTAATTCAGTTTATAAATGGGGACATTTGAAAGAGCTGAACATAACAAAGGACGATCTTAAAGAAATTATGAAGGACGAGTTGAATGAAATAAAGAGCAACTTAACCATCGACTCGAAAAACTTGTCTGCTACTATCAGAAAACGCATATCAGCACGTGACGACAGACCGTCTGCTGCATCTGTAGGTTATGTTGGTGTCGCTCTTCTGTTGATTCCATTGGTAATGATTATTAGTTTTGACGCTCCAAAGTTTTTTGCCATAGTAGCAAATATTTACAGAAAAGTTTGTAAAAGAAAGTCAGTTAAAATAGGAAATGGTCAATTGGAAAATCATGAGCAAAATGTTATATTTTAATTAATTTTGACCCCTACAGAAATCCAGAATCGCTGTTATTGGAACTCTTAAAAGAGAAGCATCATTTGAACGATTTTTTCGTGCAGAAATTTATTAATTAGAAAAACAAAAATGTAAACATTTATTTAGAGATGCTGAATGTAAATTTTATGTATAATCTAGATATATTAAAAATATTGATCACAATGCAGACCTTTCTATTGCAAGAACAAGTAGGTGTTCTAGTGTGAGTAAGTTTCCCATCCTCTTTTTTCCACTTACCGTATTGATATGGTTTATTGTATAATCGTTTTTTTTCACAGATCTTCTAGAATTAGGACATTTTGTCCTCGTACAATTTTCAATCTTTTTAATCTAATAGTTTGTCCAAAACCTAACTCATGTTATTTGAATTAATAAGTTCTAACATGAAGGAATTATCAAACTTCAGTTTTTTAATTAATTATTTTTGACAATTGTCATTTATACTCTTTCCAAGTCAATGTATAACTCTGTGTTAAATTTGCCTCAGTATTTGCAGGTTGTTTTTTTTTTGGCTTGATTTCTTCCTTTTTGCATTAGTTATTTCAATAATGGTACAAATAAATTCGCATCTTTAACTGTCAAAAATCCGTAAGGGTTAACTGGGGTCTAGTAATATGGTCATCCGTGGTCTTCCCCGTCTTCCAGTAAACGTGACGCGTACATTAGGCTGTGCGGGATGTATAAATACGCAGCTCAGTCCGATCGGGATTGATACGGTACGTTCCATGCCTAGAACAAGGGCTGCCATGTCATGGTATCTTTTATGATATAAGTTCCAAATCAAATAAACATTGTGGAATTAAGTTTCCACAGAAAGAAATATTACAGTATTAATTCCCCACGGAATAAAGGGAAAAGATTATGTATTTAAAAAGAAACATTTATTACAGCATTGTAATAACACAATTTCAGAAGGAACTTCTGTTAGGAGAAAACAAAATACGTACACACCACAAACTCTGCACGTAAAAAAACCCTTACCACACCTCTCTAAAGGCTCCTTTATAACCTGTTGCAAGGCTAACCTTTTGTTTCGTTCTGAATATGCATGAACTATTTCACAGTGGACTAAGTAAAATAAAAAAAATGTATAAATACATTGAATGTTTTTTTCGTTGTCTTTTGATACTATAAAACAGTTAAATGTGTTATATTTTTAATGGATGCTAGTGTTTTCATGTATATCGTAGTTTCAAGAACGTTTTACTCAGTCCAAACTTTATACTTTAAGTATTACTTACATACTGTATATGTTTTTTCCACCATTGCAGCAATTCTACAATGGAAAATTTCATACAAAATAATATCACCTGATACTAGGATGATTCCACTTAAAGGTTTTACTGAAAGTTGCTTAGGTCATTGAAATATGTACATAATGGGAAGGGTGCGATACGAACCCTCTTTGCCCTAATTTTGCACAGAAATTTGAATTTTAATTCAAATTATACATTTTTATGATTTTTTAAACGAGGTCATAAAACAAACATTTGTTATACGATGCATAATATCGTAATAGGTGTCGGTTTGGAAAACTCCTTCAACGCAACGCATTATTTGTGAAAACGCATTCATTTTGGTTAATTTTCAAATGTTTGTATGAGCTGCAGATATAGATCACTTGCGAGTAGCAACTTGATAACTACTTTGATTTTTGTCTATATGAACAACACCTCTTTATATTAAATAAATTAAATATAGATATTTATTTGAGACCAGAATTTGTTCAATTTTTCCGACTCACAAATATGTAACAAAATTTGTAATTTTTGAAAATGTTTGTAGAAAATACAAATAGCTCTGTTGATAGACTATCAGGCCTGAGGATATCATCAGCTCGGTAGTCAGTACTTCGGTACGGACTTGCTTTATGATAGACCTTTTCATAACAACTTCCTCATTTTGTAGTACCGCCTCGGTGGTCTCTTGGTAGCGTGTTCCCCTCGAGTGCGGGAGGTCGTGGGTTCGAACCCCAGCCGGGTCAAACCAAAGACTTTAAAATTGGTATTGCTGCTTCTCCGCTAATCACGCGGCATTCAGGAGTAGAGCAAATACTGGTCGGCTCGGAGTTAGAATAATGTGTCCAGGTAAGGTGACATGTCTTCCTGTGGACTGTTAACTTGTGAACTAGCACGTTAAAAATCCGGCTCAGTGAGTCGGTCAAGTACAAAGCAGTGTTAATACTCATATTACATTAACATGTTCTCGTCCTGAATATCAATATTGATTTGCCGCTGGACGTTAAGCAGCCATCCATCATCATCATCCTCATTTTGTAATACTTCAACTTTTAGACCAAATAGGATCTTTTGCTTTTTGTTTAAGGCCGTACTCTGACCTATAATTGCTAACTTTTTACACATTGTGACTTGCATGGAGTGTTGTCTCATTGGAATTCATACCACATCTTCTTATTTGTATTTTGCGCACATTCAGATCTATGCATATTTCATATATTTTTTTCGTCTTTGTATATGTTTATGCTACTGTTTCATTAACGTTTACCCAACATATCTTTTATTCTCAGTAAAAATTCTAAAAAACAACTTGAAAAAATATGAGTGAATAAACTTCTTTTATTGTTTATGGGAGATGAACATTATTTTTATTGCTTTTAAGTTGTTCATGTAAATTCTATGGTGTGCTCTTTCTTATAATGATTGTATTATTTGTTTCTTTTGTGCACCTTCCAAAAATATTTTTGAACATTAAATAAGGACCTTTTTTGGTACTTATATCTTTAAGTTGATGAGATAATAAAACGCTTGATTTCATGTTAATGATTCTTTGAAAGTAGACTGAGTCTTAAAATTTAGCTATTGAACCAATGCTGCCTTACGAATACACTGGAGTTATCTGGATTTATCTCTCCCACAATTTTACGAACAACATCATCACTTGGTTGACCGTTACGGAATACCTGTTTTACAGATGAAAACTACTATGTTTTATTTGTCCTAGTATTTATCATATTTGTTTCCGTCCTTTATGACTGTCG